CACAGTGGTCCATGTCTTCCCCACCACCATTAACTGGCGTGTAAGAGGGGTATCTGATGCCCCTTCATGCCACTTCCAGCATGCTCAAACCCCAAGCTGCCTTGCCAAGAGAAGGTCAACAGCTGGAATTCTAACACACCACAGTAGGACCAGTGTCTCCCCATGCCAATGTTCTGATTTGCCTAGATTAATTTACGCCTTCCTATAATCCCATGTTACACTGACTTATACTCAGGCTGCATAATTGCTTTTAGTCACAGTGTAAAATATCCATCTCAAGCATGAAAATAAAACTTACACTTCACTGCTAAGTAACCCAACTGTCCTAGTCAATTCCTAAATCCTGTTAGGAACTAGAAGTCTGTAAAGTCTGGCAGCCTGTGACATTTTACCTAATGGAAAACAAGCACCATTCCCTTAGTTGTTGCCACTACCTCAATCCTGCACGGCCACATGAWTTCCTCCTCCACAAGAAGCCAACACCTAGATTATTTCTGGAGCCTTGTCACTTGTTCCCATCTGCTTGGAAAACAGGGCCAAGGAAATTCAGAATTCCAGCATAAATAACACAGAGTAACACAAAAAAGTCTCTCTCTCTCTTCACACTGTCACAATTTTCAAGAGATTCCTGACTTAAGAACAGCAGACCTTACCAATCATCATTCTCAGTTCTGAGACTGGTTATACTTCTTAACCTAGACCTTATTACACAGGGTTGACCAGAAAGATCAGCTGCCTCTGCTCCCCCTGCTTTCTCCTCATTTCTCAAATAAAGGAAGAAAAGCTAGCATTCCTTTACTTATTGTAGCTTCCCTCAGATTCTTCTTTGGGCAAAAGAGACTTGCATCATTATCAGGAAAATCTCAGGCTCCTGTTGATCTTGTTTCAGGATCCTGCTCATCTAGGACATGGAATATATAATTATTTTCTATATCCTAGATCTGTGACAGATAATATATAATTATGTTGTGTGTCACATATTTCTCTTCAGGGTATTTCCCACCACTTCTTCATGGGACCATGCTGATTTCTAAAGATCCTAGTTCCTCCTGCATCTCTGTATCTTCTCTTATTAGTGCACACCACAGTCCTACACACTTTGAAGAGCTTAGAAACCCTCTCCTGTGCACCCAGTTGGTAGGTTTATGTGCATGTTTTTCCAAAACAGCTAAATATTCTGTAAATAGAGTTGGGCAGTACAAAAAGTTTAAGAACAAAAGCAATTGCTTATACACAAATAAAGACATAAAGATAATGTTTGTAATATGTTAATTRGCCCTGAAAGTACCTTTTAATAATATCCTAGTCAACTGTTAGATTTTTGTCTTTCTCACATTTTTTCCATAATAAGAAAGACAACCTGAAGACAGAGTCTGTTCCTACACAGCAGCTGTTGAAGGTAGGAACAGGTAGCTTAGTGGTGTATCAGACTTGGAGAAAGCACTGAATCATTTCCTTCCTGCAGTAGATATTTTCCCTACCCACAACTACCTCCTTTTTAGGGGGAGGAAATGAGAAGGAAAAAAGAAACATACTAACAACAGATACATTACACAAATTCAACATCTTCTGGAAAGACAAAAGAACACCTCCATAAACTTCTTCCAGTTCTTTAAGTAAAAACTATGCAATCATTATTTAATAAATAAATCTGTATCAGCTATAGTGTGAAGATAAGAATTTTTAAACACTAGCCCTAAAATGATATTTTCATATTTAAATATATTTCTCCTATACCCTCTGCTGGGATGCAATATCTACAAGAAAGATAAACCATAAAAATGCAAATGACATTTTACTGTATATAGCAAGTCTTAAACTTCGCTAATGTCATTAATTTGAGATTGGATACCTCATGATTGATGACAGTCCAGCCACAAGATGAGTCACTATCACTGGAATTTTCAGACATTTTCAAGCTGAAAGGAAAGGTAAATTATTTTAATATGCAAGATATATAGTTTCACTGCTAAAATAAAAATAAAGGACAAAATAAAAATAATGTACTCATGACGCGGTGGAATATTATAGATTAATTTATACTCCGTTATTCTGGAATTAAAAAAAGATTTCACATTTAAAAAAGAAAACATACCATCTTGTATATGTTACCATACTACCTTTCTTCTTGGAGCAAATACGGCTTTGCAACATGCATACCCATTGTCACCAGCTTAAAAGAAAACTCTTAGGTTGGCTAAAAAATGAAAGAGCACATATGCAAGGCCAGCCAATAAATCAGTAATTTAACTTAAAACTTGTCTAATTGTAGCATCATATGCATAAGATATATTTTAGTAGATGAAGAGATTTCTGAATGTTTTATGTGCAGGAGGTATGAGTTATTCAAGAAAATACTAAAATAGCAAACTGCTGAAAGGAATGATGATAAAATCATTTCAGGTGGTCATATTATTAACATCAAAACTCCTGCCTAGAACTCCGTAGATTCATTTTCAAGCATATCTTCAAATAATGCCACAGCTCCAAATAATGGTTTTAATTCTAAGAACTTAGATATTAATTATCTTCAAAAAAAATCTCTAGTATAAAAAAAATTCAATTATTCTACAGTTCACTAAATAGAGTGATTATAAGAGTTCAAATCTTACTCTCTTTGAAAATGAAGCCTTTTGCTTAACATAACAATATAGTTGGGGGCACAGATGGCACTACAGGGCCCTATGCCACCCATGCAGAAAGGACACATTCAGGCTGTGGTTTCATGACACGCTAAACTCACTTTTAGTGCATCTCAGTGCTAGATAAACAATCAAGCCACATAATGCAAATCCTTTCACAGACAAGAAATATTTCTTGACACAAGTGCATTTTCAAATTTTGAACGCGTAACTCTTAGCATCAGGCTAGGCTGGACAAAGTCCCATCTATCTGGCCCAAGCTAGCTAAGCACTTCAACACAGACCAGCTCTACATAGGTGCTATTGTGCACTCTCTCCATCCAAATCACATCCAGACTGCCAGGTAACCTTATCAACACAGTATAAAACCAGTTCTAATGAAAACACAGCCATGGCCTCAGGCTCTAAAGAGCATTAAAAAAAAAAAAAAAAAAAAAAAAAAAGTCTGTCGTCCTTCCTCAAACCGCAGCCTCAGGACTTAGCTCTGTGAAATCTGCATAATAAAAATATTCAACATTTCACTAATATTGCATAGCTTACTGCATACAGCAGGCTCTGCAAACATGCACTTTTGAAACAGTTGTAAAAAGTAAGGCCTCTTATTAACTATAATTAGCTCTAAAAGAATAAAAGGGCCTTTTTAGGAAAAACATACCATATCTAGAAAATAAAGCCTTTTTAGACAAAAACACACCATATCTAGAAAATTTAGACAAAAATTTAGAAAATTTAGACAAAATTTAGACAAAATAGGGCCTTTTTAGACAAAAACACACCATATCTAGAAAATTCAAACTAATATAAACAGATAGAGTAAATGACATATTTCCATGAAGTAAGGTTAATAAAACAGAGTTATCCGAGATCAAATACTCTATTTCAGTTTATTAAGGGAATAAAGTCTAACCTTAACTCAATGGTCAGATTCACCTACTCACAAAATCCTCTGCAGCTTTCATTCTCGGTCACTAAGAGAAGACAAACTTTTTTTTCCCTAACAGCCCATAGATGCTGGATATTGTTGGTGTTGTTTTCTTACAGTATATTAAAAGAAAAACAAATTTTAAGAAAATACATATTTTTAGAAGTAGTTTTAGGCAGGACAGACCACGCAATTTTAGTATCAAATTACAAAGATGTCAATGGATTCAGCACAACTGCAACAGGGATAAAGAGCTATGAAATTTGCTGCAGTTTTCTGAAATAAAACTTTGCTCAGAGACCTGTGGCTTCACAGAACATACTTCGTGGCACAAGTAAGTCAGCAATATCGTCTACCGGAAAAAAAAAAAAAAAAAAAAAAAAAAAAAAAAAATTACAATCATGAAAGACCTTGGCACAATATTTAGACACATGAAACACTGGTAAAGTTTAACTTAGAGAAAGTACTACTCCAACTTGTTCCTAAATTATGGAAATAAAGGCTTATAGAACTGCACTCTGTTTGCCTACGGATCCATCCACCTACTCAACTACTATCAAACTATCAGCTGTGTTTCTCACGGGTCCATCAGGCAACTTCAACCAAATCTGTCAGAGAGAGAAATCTCTAACACTACTACATCATTCCTACAGCTTTAGGGGTATGCTGTTTATTTTAATATGTGGGTGACCCAGACATTTCACTGATTCTGGCTCCTTAACAGTTGCTCACATAGCACACTGGTCTTCCACCAGCTCATTCCCCAGCCATTGCATGAATTTATCTACTCATTAGTAACTTTATTGCCACTGTTTCCTCCATAAGCCAGTTTAAAACGCAAAAGGTTTCTAGATCCACAAGTGACCCACAGCCTCACTGGGACTTCCTTTTAAATTTCAACACAGGCARTAAGTTTTCATCGTATTCAGTGTTCAAACTTTACATATTTTTGCTAGAAACTCTGAAATTCTAAAGACTTCCTTAACCTTACTGAACTGCAAACCACAAAAGCACAAAAGTTTACAGGTGTGTTCCCTCCCATTCTCTTATTTTAAATTTTAGATTGAAACACCCAGAGAAAAACATGGACTCCAYTAAATGTTTCCATAACCTTTTAAAATTGCTTAGTCTGGTATCATTTTATGCAACATGACCATTGTAATTAAATTCATCAGAAGGAACAGTACCCTAAATTTACTTAACACTAGTTTATTTGGCCATGCACACACATATATGCATAGGATGTGGTATAATCTACACTCACACACAAACATATAAACATGCATATGCATGTGTGAGCGTGTAGATTATGCCACATCCCACCCTTCCAACCTCAACAAGATTAACTACCCCAACCCAAACAAAACTCCAGGATCTTCTATCCTAAAACAAAGTTTGCCAGACTAGAAAGCCCTGAATAAATGTTGGCAAAGAGGATGACAAGTGACAGTTTTCGTCACAGTCTGACGTGTTGTTATTTTAATGAGGAACCGCAGCCACAGACCCAAGACGCTTCCACAGCAGCGTCTTTGTTCCGCGGCAGGGACACGGACACCTCGGAGCGCTGTTTACCGCCGCGCTCCACCTGCTGCACCGCCCGGGCGGCTCCCCAACCGCCCACCGCCCGAAACCCGAGCCCCGCGCACGATGAATGGCTCGGAAGTTGGCGAGGGAGGCGCGTGACACGCCACGAACCGACACCGGTACCAGTACCGGTACTGGCCGCCCGGCCCGGCCCGGCCTGGCCCGCCGCAGCGCGGCTGGTCGCCCCCCGCTTCCCCGCCGCCGCCCCGAGGCCCGGCCCCGCAGAGAAGCTCCCCCCCCGC